AAGCACTAGATCACATTAAGGCAAGGAGCATATCTCTGCTGAATGAGAAGGGAAAAGACAGCAAGTTAATTTCTGTGTATCAGACTTTTTGTTGCTGGAGAAGACTAGAGGCAGAATGATTCTCCAACATTAGATCACTTAGAACACAGAGTCAATCAACAAAAAGATGTAAAATAAGGTAGCATTATTCAAATTACAGCAGGTTTGATTTTGCAAAGCTGAATTTGTACATCAAAGGAGGAGGGGATTAGTTGCATGGCTCTAGGCTTGGCCAATTTCTGCTTGGAGTTACAGTATCTGACTTAATTTTACTGATGTTTTTTATCTTATAACCTTTCTCCTTGACATACATTCCTGACCAATTATCCATAGGCAACTCCACTGAGCTTCTCTGAAACAAAGAGATGGGAAGTTTCACTGAGGAGTCAGTACTAGAGGATGTTCAGCACTGCAGATAAATCACATGGATTTACTTGGGAGACAGAAGATACATAACTCTGGCCTCTCACTTGCTCAGCCCTGGAGGTAAAGGACCATCATATGGAACATTAGTGGGTACATGGAATTTGCCCAGATATTCAACGTATCCTTCGGATGCTAGTGTGGTGCTGTTACAAGGTGAGTACAGCTTGAAACCTAGAGAAAGTGAAGAAGTCATAGTAACAACTCAGCAAATCCAGGAAAAGGGGAAAAAATTGCTACAAAGGAAGAAGAAGGGGAAAAAACGTGACTCTCTCTAAGACAGTCATCCTATGCAGCACGTGGAACAAAAGCAAGGAGGCCAAGAACAGATTTGTAAGTGGCCTCAACTAAATAGAGAAAAAGCTGGGTACTGCTAAGGCAAGTGTAATCTTGACTGCTTCAAGTGTGTGCACAACAGCAGCAAGGCTGAGCATGTAGGAAAGCATTTAAAGGTAAGGAAGTTTTTTGAGACATTTTACCTTTTTATGTAATAGGTAGGGGGGTCTACTTAACTCGCAGCGAGACAAAGCGATTTCATAGTTTGGTTACAGCATGAAGAGCCGATTTTGCAGGCGTTTCCTGGTGGCCCTGCCCCTCGCTGCTGATTGGCAGAGGCATTTACATCTTCTATTCACTCATCTTCAAACTGCAGCATTGCATTTAACTTATTAAAAGATGGTGCTGAGAAACATTTTCACTTCACTGACTGGTGCCTTCCCTTAGTCTCTGTCACTAGCAGACAGTAACTCTCAGTCACGTGATCTATGGCTGCAGGGATTGTCGCATTGGGGGACATTCTAAAACAGCATATTATATGAATAATACCCTGGGGGGTTAGGTTGATTTCCCAGGCAGTTGCGGCCAGTGCAATATTTCCTGGTGATTGTGGACAATACCGTTTCTCATGGTTTCCAAAAAACCCACAAAATTGTGAATTAAGTAGTTCCCTAGTAATAGGAAAATGGCTTTTGATTGACTCATACTGTCTCTGCTGTTTTCCCTAAGGCATTGGAGGGGTAGATTCAGTTCTCCAGAGCTTTCATCAGCAGAATGTTGGAATAGACTTTATTTTCTTATTTTTCCAGTTGTGGCAGACATGTTTGGGATTCAAAAGATTTTAGAGCTCCAGTTTTCTAGACAGGGCAGTCTGGTGCCCACTGCTGTCATTCTGGTAGGATGTGAGCTCCTGATGGAATGTGATCAGTCATATAATCTTAAAAAAGAAGGTCATTTCTGGGGAGTGATGAATTCACATAGTTCCCCTCCTTGCTCATATCTCCTGCTGACTAACAGAAAAAGAAGGCATGGTCCACTTCAGTGAACATAATGCTAAGACAGAAGTGTTACCCAGCCTTAAAGACACAGAGCCACATTCTGACTTATATGCACTGTTACAAAAAGGAGTAACTTCAGTGCAATTCAGGCCAAATTTACACTGACATAATGGAGATTATTATCTGGCCTGTGCTATACATCTTTGTCTGTATAACAAACTAAGATTCCCTAATAGGAATTATAGCTAATCGATCCAAGAAATCTCAGATTCTAGCAAATTCGGCCAACCAAATTTACAGGGACTTCAAGCCAAACAAGATCATGAGGCAAAAAGAAACAAGGCTATGAAACTATTTCTGTCTCTAGGCCTGTGCTGATGGCCACCACAGTCCAGAAGCTGTAATCCATTTCCTGACAATCCTCTGCCCGCTCTTTGGAGACAGTCCTCTCCAATCCAGTTAGCCAGGTGTTCTCTGTCAAAATGATATTTGGGACAAATTGTGTAGTATGAAACATTTTTACAGTTATTTTGCTGCAACATTTTGCTGAAATGTTTCTACTTTTCACTGGCAGAACAGTAACTGACTCAGACTTCCGGTTATTCACTTTGTTAATCTGAATCAACATATTTAGTTTTGGCAGAGGTGTAGCAGGATCTTTCAGTGTCTAGGGCAGGGGGAAAGAGACTATGCTAACCACTTTAGAGTGGCGGGGGGGAGAAGGAGGAGGCAGTAGAGGCTTGTCTGCTCTGGTTCCTTGCACTCTGGTAGCAGCTATTACTGCTGCAGCTCCTGCTATAGCAGCATGGGCTTGTATTTGGGCTGCTGCAGCTGCGGGACAGGCTCACCATGCACTGCCTGCAACAGCCCCATGGCACACATTCCTTGGGGGCCATTCCTGTTTGCTTTCCTCCCAGATACACGACTGTGTGTGGGGGCTGCACCTCTGCTAAGACTTTTCCAAGTGGGCACCACTTCTCTTAGCCCCATCCCAGCTAGAACCTGGGTATTTAATTTACTGCTGAGGATTCTAGATGCCCATAGCCGGGTGCTTAATGTGTATGTATCGCAACACCTGAATACCTGAGAAAACCTCACTCTAGATAACTTGCCTGAGGTCACATGGGAAGTTGGTTACAGAGCAAAGAATCAAACTCACATCTCTTAAATATAAAACTAGCACCTACAGAGGGTTGCCTTTCATCTCAACACACAAGTATGCACATTGGCATGATTGAAGAATCTGCAAATTAACTATCTGGGCATTTATGCAACATCTGATAATGTATAAAACACATTCTATTATATACATTCTGCTGAGACAAAAAAACTACAAGACCAAATCCCTAGTGAATATAAATAGTGCTCATTTTTAAAACATGCTTTGAATTCTGCCTTTCCTCCTATATATGCTTCTTATACTGCTGCCCATATGTTCTCCTTGCTTTGTATGCTATTTTAACTCATGGATGGGGCACAGTAACTAGTAAATCTTGGCCATATAATGCAGCATGTCTAGAACACTAATCTGTAATAACCGTGATCTGGATTAGGTTTCAAGTTGTTTCGTGCTCTGGTTGCTCTGTGTGATTTTCCCCCAAAAAAGCTGGATACCTGATAGCTTACACCATCTCAGAGTCATGCAGCTGTCAGCCAGGTATCACTCTTTCAGCAGAGAACAAGCAAATCGACTATTCATCTCAGTCTGTCTCTTAAGCCTGTGTGGAGATGGGTTCTGCTGTTTGTTTTCTTGCTATGGAAGGAAGACTTCAGTTCAACCTTTACATAAGGTCAGGTCCTATTCATTATGCATTGCTGCAAATAGGTATAGGAGCTTCCTTTGGAAGGCATAACAGCATTCCTTGGCTTAGGTATAGGTATGTGCCCATCAACATGAAGACTCTGTATGATTTCCAGATGTTGGCAGCATTTAGACACCCAATTCTAACAGACTTAACATAGCTGAAATCCTGACCCAACTGAACTTAATGGGAACAGGACTTCATCCCATGACAGAAAGTCTGAAACCAAAATATAGTATACTAAACTATGCTGCTTAGGCCAAAGACCAGATTACCCATAGGATCAGGTTGAGGTAAATGGGTTCACATTTGTTTTTTTGGCCAAAGACAAATTTTTTTTTTAAATTTAAGCCAGAGCTCTTCAAGGGCTGTCTCAGTCCTGTGAGACTCAGAGGGGTTAGTTGCAAGTACCTCCCTTTAAAATAATTCTTACCGCATGATCATTCGTTTATTTTAAACAAATCACTAACTAAAAAGCTGCTGACTCTTGAAAAGGGCATGTAAACCCCCTCATTGTGAAGCATTTGTAAAATCAAGACAATCGGCTGGGTAAAAAAATTATAAATTACTTAAAATTGGTGATTGGGCATCTGAATAGAAAATCAGAAGTGTGACAGGTATAAGGCCCCTCTCTAACAGCAACATCCATTCCATTTACATAGCACCATAGTGACCCAGGAGGGTACAGTGGTAGGGTTTGGGAGGTGAATTCTCCTAACCCAAACTCACTGAACAGGGCAGCTCTCTTGCTTTTCCACAAGTACCATTCTATCCTATTTTCGAGGCCGGCCTCCTTGCAGTTGCATGATGTGCTACAGCCACCAGATCTCTAACTGCAGATTTCATGCCCTCTCTCGCTACACAGAAAGTAGAGTGAAGGCCTCTACACCAGTGGTTCTTAACCATTTTGACTCAAGGCACCCCTCCAAAAAAAGGTGGCTCCTAATTTTCACTTGTTTTTTTTGACTGTGGAAAAGTAATAGAACAATTTTTATGTTGTAAAGCACTCAGACCACAATATGTCAGAATGTTTTTAATACTATGGATTCCTATTTGAAACATCTAACAATGCTAACATTGACTAGCACCCTTTGTCACCCTGATATAAGAACCACTGCCCTACACTAACAAGCTATTGGGGTGCCTATGAACACACAAAACATCTGTGAAAGCACTCTATTGTGTTCTTCCTACAAATTGCTTAAGTGCTGCCTAAGGTAAATGGTTTGCCCTTCACAACTTGAATGAGGTTTAGCTAAAAGTGTACACTCCTTGATATGTGTGCACCTACTTTATGCAAAAAAGCATATCTATCATAAATATTGGTATCAAAGTGCCCATGCTACCTTAAAGATTTAGGA